TTAGTCCTTAGATTGGTTTCTTGGGTATTCAGAATGATTTTATATTTATCTAGCTGTGCTTGAGGTCTGGGGCAAGTCTAGGGTCCTCCTGCTACTCTGCCATCTTAGCCCCCCCCCCCTTTTCAACCTATGGCAGTTTTTGCTCTTGCTGAGAGACGGAGAAGGCTGAAAACAATCCGCTGAATGTTAAGGAACAATTATGTTGACAATATGTATGCTTATATCAACTGGAAATTATTCTGCCTCATGTAACATGCTAACTAAATAGAGACATGTTGTTATAACAGATAGTATGCAAATTCTGAGATTGTAAAAGAAAGAAATATTGTATAAGAAGGAATTGAGAACACTAGATGGTGGGGAAAAATTGGCATCTCGAAGGAGAGGGAAGGTTAAACCATAAGCATTTGCAGCATACGAGGCAGTGTGCAGGTCTATTTTACTTTATTTAAATTCATTGATACTAGTTGATTTTTAGAACATCTTTATAGATTGGTTTAGTTTTTACTTGAATCAGGTTTAAATTCTAATTTCTGACTGATTTAATTGAGAGCTGTTAATTTATGAGAACTATTAAATTTTATCAATTTCAGGCATGCTTGATTATAAGAACTACATGCTGTGTCTTGATAAAAATACAGATTTTTACCTAAGACTTAGAGTACAGAATTCTGGATTTTTTCTCAATAATACTTATTTTTTTAAAAAATTCAAATCTGTACTTTTATCTAGATTCATTGGTCATTAAAATTATGGTAAGTTACTGGATATATGAATGGATGGATGGATAGATAGAAATAAGCCCCTTAAAATCTATTCTAATAAATTTCATTATGAATCCCTAGAAGTTAGAAAATCCTAAACTTAACCTCGAAGGTAACAACAAACCTTTAGTTAGAAAAACATTACTCTCAACATGTAGCTGTCAAATGGTTCTTGTTTAATGTGAAGTAAAGTCATATATCTGAAAACATGTATTTAACCAAATATGTATCTTTTACAGAATAACAACCCATCTTCCCTGTCCTTAAGAATGTGAACAATTCTTTTAATGTACTGTTGGATTCGATTTGCTAATATCTTGCTAAGAATTTTTACATTCTTACTCATCCGGGATATTGGTCTGTAATTCTCCTTTTTAATAGGGTCTTTGTCTAGTTTGTCTAGTTTTGGAATCAAAGTAATGCTGGCCTCATAGAAGGATTTGTAAGTTTTCCTTCCCTTTCTATTTTTTGGAACAGTTTTAGAAGAGTAGGTATTAACTCTTCTATAAATGTTCAGTAGAATTCCCCTGGGAAGCCATCTGGCCCTGGACTGTTACTTGTTTGGAGATTTTGATTACTGATTCAATTTCTTGGGTGATTATGGGTCTATTCAATTTTCTATTTTTTCCTGGTTCAGTTTTCGTAGTTTATGTGTTTCTAGGAATTTATCCATTTCTTCCATATTGCCCAATTTGGTGGTATATCATTGCTCATAATGTTCTCTTATAATGATTTGTATTTCTGTGGCATTGGTTGTGAACTCGCTTCTTGCATTCTTGATTTTATTTATTTGGGTCCTTTCTCTTTTCTTTTTGGTAAGTCTGGCTAGGGGTTTATCAATTTTGTTACTTCTCTCAAAGATACAGCTCCTAGTTTCATTGATCTGTAATTTTTGGTTTCTGTGTCATTTATTTCTGCTCTATATTATTTCCCTTCTGTGGATGGAACTACAGTGTATTATGCTAAGTGAAAAAAGTCAGTCAAAGACAAATACCGTATGATTTCACTCACGTGTGGAATTTAAGAAACAAAACAGATGAACATATGGGAAGGGAAGGAAAAATAAACTAAGATAAAAACAGAGAGGGAGGCAAGCCATAAGAGACTCTTAACTAGAGAGAACAAACTGAGGATTTCTGGAAGGGAGGGAGGTGGGGGATGTGCTAAATGGGTGATGGGCATTAAGGAGGGCACTTGTTGGGATGAGTACTGGGTGTTATATGTAAGTGATGAATCACTAAATTCTCCTGAAATCAATACTACACTATATGCTATATGTTAACTAACTTTAATTTAAATAAAATCTTGGAAGAAAAAAAAGTTTTTTAAAAACCAGTGTGTCCAAAAAAAAAAAAAAAAAGATTTAGTACATTAGCAGGAAACTAGAGTCCCTTTTTCCTCATCACTCCCCCACAGGTAAGCATTGACTGGTTATTGTGTTATGTCACTAGCTTTTCTTTATAAAGTTTTACCTTCATGTATATATCTGGAAAACATATTTAGTTTTCTGCCTTTAAACATAAAAGTAAAATCATACATGCTCTTTAGTGCCTTACTTTTTTTGCTCAATGTTATATTTTTGAGATTCATCCATGATGATGGGTGTGGTTCTAATTTGTTTCCACTGCAGTGTAGTATTTACATGATAAGACTAAAATTTATTTAGTCTGTCATTGATGGACAATAAAAATGTTTTCAGTTTATCTTCATATGCACAGTGGTGTCAAGAACATTCTTATATATATCCTCTGTGTACCACATACAAGAGTTGCTCAAAAGTACGTACCTAGGGATGTCCAGGAATGAAGGTTCTAGAAGGATATGATTGTTTTTCTAAATCCCAGGGATTCCTATCATTGGAGGGTAGGACCAATGTCCTGAATTTCTTTGGCTGGCCAACAGTTGCACACTTCATCTTTTTGGTGTGCTGCAGAATCCTTTTATACCTCTTGAGACACCGTATTAGTAACTTAGGCTTAAGGGACAGAGTGGCGATGGTCCAAGCCTAGTGGGTCTCTTTGTTCCATACTTAGGGGACAACATCGGGACTGAGAATCTGTATACTAGCTTACCTATGACAACATTCTTGAGTCAACTCAGTGTTCATAATGATCACTCACATGCTCTTCCTTGACCTGTTCTACATCAGTGACTTTCCACTTTGCTTGAACAGCACAAATGACCACATTCTAAATTATGATCCACAAGATGGCATAGTGGAAAGAACATAGGCTTTGGATTCAGAAGGAATTGACTTTAGTGAGCTTGATCACTTAATAATCACATTGTTAATTTGTTTCATTGCTCTGAGTCTGTTTTGTCATCTATAAAACTGGATAAAAGTTTGTACCTTACAGACACGTTATAATTAGAGATAATATGCAAATTGCTTGAGCCATTTACCTGACCCTTGCTGCGCATTCACTAAACTATAGCCTTGGTTAGTATTGTTCTAGTTATTTGTCATCATCTTCAGAAATCTGGAAATACTATTAATTCATTTTTTTGATGATAACCTCACTTTCCTTGCCTGATTGAATTAACTAAATCTGCACACTCCCCCTCTTAAAAATTTCATCTCAACTTCTAGTTTCCTACCCTGATTTATTCTCATAATGTTCACTTATAAATATGTTTTGTGCGGGGCGCCTGGGTGGCGCAGTCGGTTAAGCGTCCGACTTCAGCCAGGTCACCATCTCGCGGTCCGGGAGTTCGAGCCCCGCGTCGGGCTCTGGGCTGATGGCTCAGAGCCTGGAGCCTGTTTCCGATTCTGTGTCTCCCTCTCTCTCTCTGCCCCTCCCCCGTTCATGCTCTGTCTCTCTCTGTCCCAAAAATAAATAAACGTTGAAAAAAAATTTTTTTAAAAAAATATGTTTTGTGCTTTGGTCTTAATTTTTTTTGGAGAACAGGATTATATATAGGCATACTTCATTTTATTGTGTTTGCAGATACTGTTTTTTCCCCCCAACAAATTAAAGGTTTGTGGCAACCCTGTATTGCTGAGCAAGTTTATTTGTGCCATTTTCCCAACAGTATTTGCTCATTTTATGTCTCTGTGTCACATTTTGGTAATTCTCATAATGTTTCATTTTTTAAATCATTATTATATTTGAATTACATTCAAATAAATTATTATATTTGCGTTAACATTCAAATAAATTATTGTATTTGAATTACATTATTATATTTGAATTTAAATTATTACTATATTTGAATTAAAATTTTAACACGAGTTACTTTTTTTTTTTTAATTTTTTTTTTTTCAACGTTTAATTATTTTGGGGACAGAGAGAGACAGAGCATGAACGGGGAAGGGGCAGAGAGAGAGGGAGACACAGAATGGGAAGCAGGCTCCAGGCTCTGAGCCATCAGCCCAGAGCCCGACGTGGGGCTCGAACTCACGGACCGCGAGATCGTGACCTGGCTGAAGTCGGACGCTCAACCGACTGCGCCACCCAGGCGCCCCACGAGTTACTTCTTATGAATGAGCTTCTTTGTTTTTTTGCTTGAGAAGGAATCTACTCCTGGTGAAGATGCCATGAAACTGCCGAAATGACAGAGGATTTAAAATATTACGTAGGGGGGGCGCCTGGGTGGCTCAGTCGGTTAAGCGGCCGACTTCGGCTCAGGTCATGATCTCACGGTCCGTGAGTTCAAGCCCCATGTTGGGCTCTGTGCTGACAGCTCAGAGCCTGGAACCTGTTTTAGATTCTGTATCTCTCTCTCTCTGACCCTCCCCTGTTCATGCTCTGTCTCTCTTTGTCTCAAAAATAAATAAACGTTAACAAATTTAAAAAAATATATATTATGTAGGGGTGCCTGGCTGGCTCAGTGGACCATACAATGTTTGGTTGCAGGGTCGTGAGTTTGAGCCCCATGTTGGATTTTTTTAGATTTTTAGATTACTAAAAAAAATAAATGAACTTAAAAAATATGTTACATAAACTTAGTTGGTAAAGCAGTGGCAGGATTTGAGAGGAATGACTTATTTATTTATTTATTTATTTATTTATTTATTTATTTATTAATGTTTGTTTATTTTTGAGACAGAGAGAGACAGAGCATGAACAGGGGAGGGTCAGAGAGAGAGAGGGAGACACAGACTCTGAAACAGGCTCCAGGTTCTGAGCTGTCATCACAGAGCCCGACGCGGGGTTGAATTCACAAACCACGAGATCATGACCTGAGCTGAAGCCAGACACTTAACCGACCGAGCCATCCAGGCGCCCCGAGGAATGACTAATTTTGAAAGAAGTTCTGCTGTGGGTAAAATGCTATCAAACAGCATCACATGTTGCAGAGAAATCATTCGTGAAAGAAAAAGTCAGTCGATGGGTCACACTTCATGATCTTAAGAAATTGCCACAGCCACCCCAACTTCAGCAGTGGCCACCCTGATCAGTCAGCAGCCATCAACAGTGACACAAATGCTCCACCAGCAAAAAGATTATGTTCATCTTAATTTATAAAGATGACTGACAACATAGGTTAATGCCTTTGAAAGAAAAGTAGTGGTTCAGTTTCCCTAGAAATGAGAGGCATGGGACACAATGCAGAGCCACAGAAGGAACACCTTGTGATCAGGAAGAAGCAGAAGAAGCTAGAAGAGCCAGCCCTTAGATTATGGCCTTTATTGGGGTTTGGCAGGACCATGGTGGAGGGGTGAGGGCAAGGCAATGCAGGGCAAACAACTGAGGAATGGCTGGTTTGAATAATTCTGGCAAACTCTAAGCCAAAGAATAGCTTCTAGTTACCTGGTCCTGGCTCCGGGAAGATTAAAGTGAGAGAATGTTATCTCTTGGGGTGGACAGGCCAGATAAAGGAAGTAGGTAGAGCTCTGAGGCAGTTAGCTTGTATCAAAGGCATGTTCCTGTCAGAGCCCTTTGCTATTTCTAAGAATTGGCTAGCCCTGAGAGGGTCAGTCTCTCCCCAGCCAGAACATTTATATTTTTAAGATGTAAAAACATCTTTCATAATAGAAAAATAAGTACACTTGCAAACATACACAACATTTTCTGTTACTTATTTATTTTCTTTTGGCCTTTTCTTAAGCACGTCTTAATTTAAACTTTTGATTCCTACCCTCCCCAGTCCCCGCCATTTTCCCTACCATCTTCCTCTCTAGTTCAGTTAATGGCATTGTCATCAACTCAGGTACCCTGGCCTCAACACTGACACCCAGTCTTGACTCCTCTTAGTGCGTCACAAACTCCTGCAGATTCTGCTTCTGACCACATTTCACCCTCTCCAGTGTTACCTGCCTGTCTAAGCCAGCATCGGGCTCACCTGGATTACTGCTGCCATCCCGTCTTCACTGCGTACTTCCACTCTTGCCCCCTCGAGATAAAGTGTAATCAGATCCCATCACTCCACTGATGAAAGTCCTCCAAAGATTTCCCAGCTGCAGTTACAGCAAATCGCAGATGTTTTGCCTCAGCCTTCAGGTGTGATCAGGCTTGTCTCCATCTCTTCCCTCCATTCTCCTCATTCCTTGTGTCCCAGTCATACCTGACCTCTTTGTCACCCTTGAGTATTCCGAACTCAGTGCCACCTCAGGGTCTTTGCACATATTTCCTGTTGTCCTACAACTCTCTTCTTCCTACATTTTTAGTGTAATACCTCCTTTTGTAGTTCAAATAGTTCAAAGTTACCTCCTGGGAGAGGCTTTCCCTGAACCTCCTGGGACTGCCATCCATGTTTTTCTTAAACTGTTTACTTTGTTTCTTTATAATTGTGCTACCTGAACTGAAATATTTGTTAATGTGTTTTTAATCTCATGGCACTAAATTAGAATCTCCAGCATGATGGGCAACTGTTTCTCTGGTTTATTACTGTATTTTCAACGTCTGTAGTAGTGCCTACACAATAGGTGCCCAGTAAATATTTGTTGGATTAATGAAAAAATGTATGAAATGTAACTGGAGACAAAAAAAAATCATAAAACTTGTTACATGTATCATGAAATAATAGTAGTATATACACAATATTATAAATTTGTATAAATATCTTACAGCATTAAAGCATTTTATTTTTTTAGTATTCATTAGAATTCTTCAAAAATATCAGCATGTCTTTTGTGAACAAACTTTATTATGCCTTGTTAAAAACTCTTTTTTGAATGCTTATTTATTTTTGAGAGACAGAGACAGAGCAGGAACCAGGGAGGACAGAGAGAGAGGGAGACACAGAATCCAAAGCAGGCTCCAGGCTCTGAGCTGTCAGCACAGAGCCTGATGTGGGGCTCAAACCCATGAACTGCGAGATCATGAGCCGTAGTCAGGCACTTGACAAACTGAGCCACCCAGGCACCCCAATTATGCCTTGTTTTAAATGTGAATTATAGGACTGTTTTCCTTAATAGCACTTTCAGTTTGTTTCATTTGGAAATTGCTTTTATTGTTTAACATTTGGATAATGTAAATATGTCCATTCATTTATAAATATGAACATTCCTATCTTCCTATATTTGGCATAGAAAGGACTAAAGGAGACTTATATTGGTTGCGTCTAAAGAAAGATACTTAAAATACTTGAGAAAAATGAGGTAGGAAAATTAAGGGTAGGGAAAAAAGTCTAACACAAGAGGTGATAGTAATAAAAAGCTTTCCTTGATGGAAGAGGTCTGAAAAGTGGGCCCTGAGTTTTCTAGCAAATGATGTAAGGTGAGAAATATTACATTTATGGGACTTATGTTTTCTAGGAGTTAAAAGTCAACAGTTCTTTCAGAGAAACTAAGCCATTCCTCACACTGAGGTCAGGGAGCAATGTCTCCAATCTCAATGAAAGGACAGGGTGTAACATGAAACGTGACCTCAACACCTTCCTTTCAGTAATTACAGTGACATAGGTTGTTTTAGGAAGAATAAGTCAAAATAGGAGTCACTGGGGAAGTGATCTAAATCACCTCTAAGTGAGTTATGAATGGCAAACTGCTTTTAAAACCATTAAGTATTTATGTTGTTCTGTTTTGGATTTACTCTTTTCAAAGAGGATGTGGGGAAAAAATCAGATTCACTCCACATATGGCATGCTCTCAATACTACATCATAGGACAACAATTTCTGCTATGTTGGAAGGAATTTGTCTATGTAAATAAAAGTCAGTATCAGGGCAGCCGAACCGCCAGCCTGAGAGTTCATTGCTTTAATCACAAGCACAGTATAATTACTCAGCCATAGTTTTTTACTCTGTGTTCAGCCTAACAATTTACCATATATGTGAATTCATGCCTAGTATATCATATGCATGTATCGTGTATGTTGTAAGAAATAGAGTAGTATATTTAACAATGATCACGTACACTGATGTTTTAGCAAACCAATAAGAAAAAAATAGTATTTTCAATAATACATGATTCCATTTCTCAGTTGGGCATGACCTCTTCCTCCAAGGCTGGTCTTCACAAACACTGATCAACCGATGGATGACATTGACAATAAAACAAAGTCCTTGGATCCAGTACCTCATGCTGCTCCTAACCACAGATGCCGTTTGAATTCACCAGTTACAATACCTGATGACCCTCCAGAATAGAATTCCCATTTTATACCTGGTAAGTTAAATCTCCAGAAAGAATCTCTTCACCCCTGTAGAAAATGACACTAAGATTTAAGTTGCTCATTTAGCTAATTACTTTATTGTTTCAATAAATAAATATTGAGTACCTACTGGATACCAAATACTTTACTAGATGTCAGGTAGAACATTCCTGCCTTTACATCGCTTGGAGTCGGAAGTTGTACAAACATTAATGGTATTCTGCATGCCGTTATGGAAATGTGAAGAGAATGTTGTAGGGACCCAGAAGACAGAGTAACTGACTGTGGGGTTAAAGGGAAGGTCTAACTGAGGAAGTCAAGTTTCATTGGCATGGTAGGGAGTTTCTTGATCAAAAAATAGGTGGGGAAGGGAGAATGTCTGGGAGAAAGAAAAACCTGTCCAAAAACACCAGGTCATGAAGGCCTAGTGGTGTGGTTGGGGCTTGAGGAAGGCCGGCTGGATCAAAAGGCAGAAGTGTGCAGGTGGGGGTGACCGGTTTCCAGTGCTGATTAAGTAGTTTGGATCTTATCCTGGAGCCTTTGAGAGCCTGTAGATGCTTTTTAACAGGACATCAAGACTTTTTTTTTTTTGGTGGGGAGAGAGGGCACAAGTGAGCGAGGGGCAGAGAGAGAAAGAGAATCCCTCAAGGAGCAGAGAGAGAGGGAGAAGCAGAGCTCACCCGAAGTGGGGCTTGTGTTCACCCAAAACGGGGCTCGAACTCACCCAATGTGGGACTCAAACTCAGGAACCGTGAAATCACAACCTGAGCTGAAGGAGGTGCTTAACTGAGCCACCGAGGCGGGACATCAAGATTTTAGGGGCGCCTGGGTGGTTCAGTCAGTGAAGTGTTGGACTTCTGCTCAGGTCATGATCTCTTGGTTTGTGGGTTCGAGCCCTGCATCAGGCTTCTGTGCTGACAGTGCGGAGCCTACTTGGGATGCGCTCTCTCTCGCGCGCGCACGCACTCTCTCTCCCTCTCTCTCTCTCTGCCCCTTCTGTGTGCACACACTCTCTCAAAATAAATAAATAGAGGGGCGCCTGGGTGGCGCAGTCGGTTAAGCGCCCGACTTCAGCCAGGTCACGATCTCGCAGTCCGTGAGTTCGAGCCCCGCGTCGGGCTCTGGGCTGATGGCTTGGAGCCTGGAGCCTGTTTCCGATTCTGTGTCTCACTCTGTCTCTGCCCCTTCCCCGTTCATGCTCTGTCTCTCTCTGTCCCAAAAATAAATTAAAAAAAAAAAACACGTTGAAAAATAAATAAATAGACTTTTAAAAGAAGACTTTAAAGCAGATACTTGAGTTTGGTTTTTCATCACTTTCTTCCCAGCCTCTGGCACATGGTCTGGTGCCTAAAGGGCACTCAATAAATGTCCAGTGAGTAAGTGATTGGATGTTTGATAAGATAGCTCTTGGGGCCAGTGTGAAGGAAACACTGGAACAGAGAGAAAGCAAGAAAAGGGAAACTAGTTAAGAAGTTACTACAGTAAACCCAACTGGATGAGGCTTTGTACCAGTAAGTATAAAGAAGAGGCAAAAGTTCACAGTTTGAAAAAAAAAAAAAAACTACGAGATGATTGCAGAGATGTTATTTCATTCTAGAAATAAGATCCTTGTCACTGCTGGGCAGGAGATCAGCCTCCTTACTAGGCCTGCACTGATCCATCCTGGCTGAGGGAGGGGTGTGGTGTTATTGCTTCTTTTAAGAGACATTTGATAAAAGAAGCAAAATCTAAAGTCCTACCTTGATGGTACCCTCCTGCCAATTCATGATTCCGAGTGCTTCTCTTCTTAAGTATTGTGACTCTTTAAAGAAATCTGGTTTCCTTGACTGTGACCTTACTTACATTGACCAAGTTAGAATTTAACAGACCCCCCGTTGGGAGGAAATCAGTGTGAGAACCAGATGGTGAGGATATAAAGAAGTGACGGGGTCAGCAGCAATGTAGCATAGTCTTCAGATCACCATTTTGAAGTCAAGATGTGATTTCAAATCGCAGTGTTACCACTTGCTTTATCTATGTAAACTTAACAATAGTATGAAGAGTATAAAAATAGAACTTTGTGCAGAGCTCACTTTAAGCCACGTCCTGTGCTAACCCTGCAGCAGCCTTATGAGATGGGCCTAGAGAGGCTATCAAATTACCTCCTCTCTTCAACCTTAGTTTTTGCACTTGTGAAGTGAACTTGACTATCTCATAAAGCTTAAGAGGATTCAATGAGTTAGTAATCTGGAAATCCCCCTACTACGTTTTTGGGATGTGGTATTCCTTTCCCTCAGAAAATAGAAGCTCTGACTCTTTCTAGGAAGCCTCCATGTGACCCATGTAACATCCGTGTAAAAATTTATGCTAAGTTCCAATATATTATAGTTACAGTCATGTAATTTTTTCATTTGTTTTTGAACACAGGGCCCCCAGCACCTACTGTCCCTCCTCTCGCATACTACCCAGGAGGCTTGCTAATGGGATACTGCTGTCTACATCAGCGCAGTGCCTTCCCCTTGTACCAGCCAACTGGTGGCATCCATTCTATACAGCACCAGCCTGGCAGATGTCCAGTGTGAAATGAGCCTGCTCCAACAGCGTGGATGCCAGAGCCAGTTCCTGTGCCAAACTGCCCTCCTGGTCTGGAAGACTTAGTAGCTCAGGTACTCCACACAAATCCAAAATATCTTCCTGTGAAATATGACCTTGAGGATCCAACAGAAAAGAGACACAAGGCCGGATAGAGTGGACAAAGGTGGTGGGTCAGTGATGACAGAGGCCCAGTTTGTGAGGCTGTAGGAGCAGTCGTCCTGATTTCAGATTTGTGAAGGGGAAGCGTAAGTATAGGAATATTTTTCGTGGGAAGACTGTGTATGGTTTTCATAAAGGATTAATGTTGAGTGGTAAGATATTTGAGATGTCCTCTTGAAGGAAATTAGAAGAGTAGGAATAGAAAAAGTCGACATAGATCCTAACTGGAGTGTCATTTAATTGGAAGAGTAAACATCAAGAAAGGCAACATGAAGGAACAGAACATTTAGTGACAAACTCCTCAGGTGCCTTCACCCCTTGCTTTCCCTCACCACCCATAATTTTATCACCTGCTCTAGCCCTCATAAAAATCTATTATTACCAAGTAAACATAAGGTGCGTACCAAGCATACATAGCTTCAAGCCAAGTCTATGAGGCCCTCTACCGTAAAGTGGTGATCCCCTAAACTCTGTTTAAAAATTGTGAACCCACTCTGAAACCCAGGTCCTAAAGTCAAGGGATAAGCAGATTTGGTTATAAACTCAAATAGCATAAGCTCAAAAAATGTATCTAGTGAAACGGAGATACAGCTAGTATTGGAAACTCTTCTGTTATCCTGGCTCTTTTTGTTTTGGAAACAGGAGGTATTGAAGTTCATTATAAGCGAGGAACTCTAATTCAATGCTTCTCTTCCCACGTGATCAATAAAATATTCCTTGAGGATGAGAAGTTCCTCTTTGCAGTTCTATATATTTAATCTTGTGCACTGAAAACTATTGATACAGTGCTATGGAGATGATGTGCGAAATGCAGTAAAATTGGATCGAGAAATTGGAATTTGTAGGAGCCAAGAATTTTATTAAACTATCCCTTTATAAAATAGCTATAAAATATACATGAAGTCATTAAAGTGCTAGAGTAAACCCCTTAACTATGTTAGAAGCTTATTGGATGCCTATAGTTAATAAATTTTAGAAAATCTTTTTTATGCTTGTACAATAATATAAGAATTTGACCTTATAAGTCTGTGGTCTCCTAGACCATTTCCCCTTCTTTTAAAATTGCACAGCATTGGGGCGCCTGGGTGGCGCAGTCGGTTAAGCGTCTGACTTCAGCCAGGTCACGATCTCGCGGTCCGTGAGTTCGAGCCCCGCGTCGGGCTCTGGGCTGATGGCTCAGAGCCTGGAGCCTGTTTCCGATTCTGTGTCTCCCTCTCTCTCTGCCCCTCCCCTGTTCATGCTCTGTCTCTCTCTGTCCCAAAAATAAATAAACGTTGAAAAAAAAATTTAAAAAAAAATTGCACAGCATTAAAATTGTTTATTAAAGTTAAAAAAAGGTGTTCAGCTTCTTCCATTACCCTCACAAAGGTTAAATGATAGATATGATGGATTCACTTATCCCTTTCAGAAATGCGTGAGTTAAAAAACAAAACCAGAAACAAATAAAAAAGAAAACAAGGTTTAGGGCCAGATAATGTAGTGTTTGATTCTGTAGTTTTATCACCTCCTAGTTCTATAGACTTGAACAAATTTCATAACTAGGTGATGTTTCAGTTTCTTCTACAAAATACTACTAATTCTCCCTACTCTATTGGGTGGTTCTGGGAACTGTTAATGTGTGACAGAGTTCCTGGAACCGCTGAATGGATGAGGCAGTAATGATGCTATTTAGTTGAAATACCTCCTTGGGTGTGAATGCAAGGTACATACCCAGTCATTTTGCTCTATTTTCCCTAGACTCTCGAGATCTCATGAAATTACCAGGACTCCTCACAGGAATTCTGTCTAACACCGCAGGATTACATGGTTTCTGAGCCTGGAATTTGCCAGTGACTCCACTAGCTCCTAAAAGAATGGATCCTTAATAGCCACAGTGTTTTATTAGTAAACTTCTCCCATGTTAAAGGGCTTCATTTCTTTAGGCTTTTTTGCCTACCAGTGGACATTTTATTAAAGAGTGAATATTTTTTATCTTTTAGCCCTAGATTTTAAGATCCTGGAGTTTTTTTAAATAGGACTGTAAATCATTTTGGTGGCCACTGTTGAAAAATCATGAGACATGTTTGGATCCCCTCACCTGGCTGTGCTTTCATACAGGAAAAGTCTTGAATGAGAAATAGATTATTTTCTCTACTCTCTTGTAATTAAGTATACTATTTAAACATTTATGTCCAGTTAAGTCACTTTCAATTTTGTTCATTTCAAAACCATTCATTAACTCATTCAAAAAATATTTAAGGCAGTAGGGCATTTCAGTCCATGTCCTGTGCCCAGAAGTTAGGAATGACAGAAAATTGTGTAAGATAGGATCAGTCTGTCCTCAAGGAGATTTCTTCTGCTAGAAGGATTCGAGAATCTTGGGAGTAATCCCTAAGTAAGACTAAGGTGAGAAATCTGTCTAATGATAGTCTGAATTTCCCTTTTCAGGAGAACACATTCCAGAAAGTTTCTTGTCCTGTCCTCTCATCCTGTTTATAAGCCTCTTGCCCTCCTGGACCCTCCTCTTATTACAAGGGAACACGTAGGGAAGAGCTTGGTGTGTAGTAACTCAAGTGAACAGAAAAATCAGAATGTTAATCTGTCAGAGGCACCTTGAAAATTTGGTACTCCTGTGTGAGGTTCACCATGGCTGATTCCTTTCCCTAAGCCACTGAGAAAATAGCCTCGTATGTGGCTGGTCCATGTTAAACCATCCTGAGCTTCCTGAGCAACTTGTCTGTAGGTGACATGTTAATGAGACCAGTGAATAGGGATTGAGCTAGATACAATCTGCGTAAACACAGCTTTTTCTAGATGCTGTTAGTGTAGCAGGAAGATGATTTTCTGAAATTTTATTAGAAACATTATTAAATATTTTAGTCTTCTAGAGTAGAGCTGGAAGAAAGCGCCTTTCCTATCTAGACAGCTCTCCTTATATGTGATCAGGTGCAAATAGGCTAATTTCACTTGACAAAATATATTTGTAAGTAATTAACATTGAAGATATGTTAAAAATTGATTGCTACATTGTTATTTATCATCAGTTTTTTCTCTAAGTCTAATTGTTTTAATGCTATTGTTTCTAACTTTCCTAATTAACTTTTTTCTATCACATTAGTTGACAACATACCCGTTCTTCCGCATTTTGAACACCTGGAAAATATGTATACTTCAGTGGTGATCAGCAATATTTGAATCAGCATTATTGAATATCCAGTTAGTTCTTCATATTGGCCATTTCTTAGTGGTTCAAAGAGAGAAGACTGTCCTAGAAACTAAAAAAGGGAATTTTTGTGTATAATTTTATTTATTTATAAATCATTTATTATTAGATCTAGATTGAAAAAGATCTTACATATTATCTGGTCACCCCCACTACACTTGTTCCCTCTTTCTGCCCCCATCATAGATATTATAGACAAGGGGGGAAAAGAAAAGAGAAACTAAGGAACTTAGTGAGGGACAAGTGAATCTAGATTCACTGGAAGGGGGAAGAAATGAGCACAATAAACATGAAATCTGTCCTCTATTCATCAGTAAAGTGTTCCTGACCCTTAAAGCAACAACTTTACACATTCATTTGGCTATGACATAAGGCCTTCTTGGTTCTTTTTTCTATCTGCAGTTTGTGATGACCTTGATCATCTTACCACATTTCATGTGCTGAATGATTTGTGATGCAATGTATAATTTTATTAAAATATTTTTAAAATTTATTTATTTAAATTCAAGTTAGTTGACATACAAGGTAGTAATAGCGGTTCATCACTTATTATTATAACAACCACTGCTCATCCCAACAAGTGCCTAATACGCATCAACCCATTTAGCCCATCCCTCCCATCTCTCCTCCAGCAAACCCCAGTATGTTCTTTGTATTTAAGAGGCTGTTATGGTCTGCCTCTCACTCTGTTTTGATCTTAGTTTTTCCCTTACCCTATGTTCATCTATTTTGTTTCTTAAATTCCACATATGAGCGAAATCACTTGATATTTGTCTTTCTCTGCCTGACTTATTTTGCTTAGCATAATATACTCTAGTTCCATCCAGGTGGTTGCAAATGGCAAGATTTCATTCTTTTTGATCACCAAGTAACATTCCAGTGTGTGTGTGTGTGTGTGTGTGTGTGTGTGTAACATATCATCTTTATCCACTCATCAGTTGATAGACACCTGGGCTCTTTCCATACTTTGGCTATCGTTGATAGTGCTGCTATAAAAACATTCAGGTGCATGTGCCCCTTCGAATCAGCACTCCTGTATCCTTTGCATAAATACCTGGCAGTACATTTGCTGGGTCATAGCATAGTTCTATTTTTAACTTTTGAGGAACCTCCATACTGTTTTCCAGAGTTTGCATTGCCACCAACAGTGCAAAAGGGTTCTCCTTTCTCTGCATCTTTGCCAACATCTGTTGTTTCCTGAGGTGTTAATTTTAGCCATTCTGACAGGGGTGAGGTGGTATCTCATTGTAGTTTTGATTTGTATTTCCTGATGATGAATGATAGGGAGCATCTTTTTGTGTGTCTGTTAGCCATTCAGATGTCTTCTTTGGAAAGTGTCTATCATGTCGTTTGTCTATTTCTTTATTAGGTTATTTATTTTTTGGGTGTTGAGTTTGATAAGTTCTTTATAGATTTTGGATACTAACCCATTAAAAGATATGTCATTTGCAAATATCTTCTTCCATTCATTCAGTTGCCTTTTAGTTTTGCTGATTGTTTCCTTTGCTGTGCAGAAGGCGTTTATCTTGAAGAGGTCCTAATAGTTCATTTTTGCTTTTGTTTCCCTTGCCTCCAGAGATGTGTCAACTAAGAAGTTGCTGTGGCCAAGGTCAAAGAGGTTGTTGTCTGTTTTCTCCTCTAGGATTTTGATGCCTTCCTGACTTACATTTAAGTCCTGTATCCATTTTGAATTTATTTTTGTGAATGGTA